TTTTTTTTTGGCTACCGGCACGCCGTCTATAGACCCACAGACCACCGGACCCTCATGCCCTCATGCTTGAGCTCCAGCAAGGCTGTTTAGATGAACTGTAACGATAGCAACTGGTTCACACGTCGATCTTCTTCACGGATGGATTCCTTCACGCAGCCGTGCACAGTACTTCGTCCATGCAAGGCCACACATCCATGATTCTGTTGGGAGGCCTCTGCCACACCAAATTAACGATCGTTTTGATTCACCGCTCGCGTCAGCGCGCAGTGCCGGCAGAGCTGGCCGGTGCAGTCGCCCCGCTGCCTCAGGTGACGTTCAAAGGGTCTGAATGCATACGAAGCAAGAGCTCTTGTCGGCATTTTGGGCAGGTATACTGGTAATTGCACTTCAAAGGAAAAGCGTGGGCTCTCTGCAGTCCCTTCAACACGAACACAGCCAGTGGATCTCCGCAGCCTGTCGATGCCGCACTGCCCCGCTCCTGGGATGCTCGAAAATAAGCAAAGGTTCAGGATTTGGGAGCCCCAAACCCTCTGCCTCTTACTGTACCATTCTTGAGCCTCAGTGCCACAACCTTTTTCTCGCAACCTGATCACAAAACCAAGGGTAGACGAAGGGATTTGGGGTATGGGAGTGTAGGGCGAGACAGGGGCCTTATCAACAGGAATTGGGGTCTTGAGGTACATGACAACCAAAGTATCTTAGGGACTATCAGGGGATACCGTAGTATCATTACGAAATAAAGCGACCACATGTCATTCGGGTTTCGGTAAGCCCTACACCCTAAACCCACAAAGCCCCAGAAGAGCAGTGAGCCACGGTGCGCCGAGGGCGGCGGCGATCAACTCTGCTGCCGTAAGCTTGTCCAGAGGGCATACTGCCTCGTCTTCACAGAGAGTCCAATACCCTTCAATGAAGGAATATACGTTGAATCATAAGGGGCTTCATACTATGATTTTCCTTGATTGAGGGGTATTGGGCTCTGGGGTTCGGTGTTGGGCTTTCGTGTTGAGGGCTAGGCATCAAGGGCTTTACTTTCAGGGTTTAGGGGTTTAGGGTTTAGAGTTGTAGGATCCTAGACCCAAAACGCTAAACCCAAAACCCTAAAGCCGGGGGGGGGGGGAGGGGGGAATGCAACCGTAGGATTGTCCCATCATGGCTTTCGAATTGAAGCTTTGTGGGTTTCAGGCCCGGGGGCGGGGGGTGCAGGTCGCCCAAAGAGCCCCAAGAGCCCTTAATTAAGGAATATAGCTTAAATTATAATACGGTTGATGACATAAATCCTGCATTACCCATATATAGGAACATACCATAGTTCCCATAGTTTAGGGCCCTCAAGGTAATGCAGGATTTATATCATCATCAGAAGTACGAAGCCCCCTTCTGCTTTAAGGTCTATTCCTTAATCAACCGTGAAGCTCCCTGTGTCAACTGCCAAGGTTCCGGATCTTCAGCTCACTCTTCGGGCTTTCTCCCAAGCGAGAGCTGAGGGGTTTGGGCCGAGACTGGGAAACCACTGGGCCCAACACCCCCTATGTAATTCAGGAGCATACCTTACACCATGGGGGATAAGGGGCTTGGTATTCGGATTTACGGCATCGTCCTTAATTAGGAGAGACATCGAACAGGAAGAGCAGCAAGTATCATATACTATCATATGCTATAATATATACCACATATACTGTAAAAAAAATATCATATACCATGGATGTGAGAAGCGCCTGCTTGCCACTGGAATAGGCCCCTAAACCCTGAACTCCAAATCCCTAAACCCTAAAAACCCTCACTGGTTTTCCAAACCCTGAACCCTAAACCCCAACCAATTTGGAGGCTTGCTGTGCTTTTCGAACCTGCCAGGAAAGCTCGAATTTTGAGCCAACGAGTGCCTGACGGTATAGGGTTTTCGTATTTAGAACATTTTTTGCTACTCGGGATTTTTCTAGAGAATCCTGTGGAGCAGTATTCCAATCTCTTGAGGCACCTATATGAGCCGTCGAGCGACCTTCGTGTGCATCCATCGGTCGATGCAGGAGCGGTGGAACATGTGGCAACAAGGCCTTGGTAAGACCGGACAACTTTCATGAGTATAGACCCCCCTAAGCCCTAAATCCCAAACCCTAATCTTCCTTTTTATAGGGCTTTTAGGGCCTTTAAGGTTAAGGGTTTTATCGGCTGGGCTAGCATGGCACATCTAGTGTAGTCTCACCCTTTTCTGTGAGGCCAACATACTGTAGGGGCCTTGCTAAGTAGAAGAGGGTTTTGGGCTCCCTAATAATTAGGTTTATGTATATATAATAAGGAACCCTCACGAATAATATTGGTAAGTATTTAAGCTTCTACATTACACGCTCTTCGTCCCAGAATTATCGTCTCTAGGTTTTTTTGGGGTTTAGCCCTCAAAGGATTCCGAATGCTTCAGAGAGAGAGAGAGAGAGTTACACAGCGCGAAAGCCTTTGTAGCAAAACAGTGCCCAGGAGCAAGCGCCGCACATCGTCGCCTGCAGGTGGATTGAATGCTGCGGGGCTGCGGGCCTTGAGTAAGAGTAAGTTGAGGTTCCTACATCTCATGCAAAACCACTGCAGTGGCACAGTAGGTACTGGAGCTCCAGCACACTATTCCGACATGGGTGCGAAGCCCCAAGTGCAAGATCTCGGAAATCCTGCTGCTGAAGCTCATAAACCTCCGCCTCAAGTCACTTGGCTCCTTCCAGCAAACACCCAAACTCAGAATCCCGGGGCTCGGTCAACGTGGCTCAGTCAACCCAGTTGCTGTGAAGGGTCCGGCCTGCCATGAGTTGCTCGTGACAGATCACGCAGGGCTCCTCCTCTGTGACATCCTGCCCACAGGATGTCACCCGCTGTCGTCCCACAACGTCTTCTGCCAAGTCTCAGTGTGTCTGCCTTTAGATTATGCATTCTTGTTGTGGGCTTTTTCACCGCACCATTACCAAAGCACGTTCGGCCTGATCTTCAGAGATTTCGAGTCTGAGGGTTCAGTCTCAGAGGCTGTAGGGGTCCCTGTGATATAGATGGGAGTTTCAGTTTAGACCCTGTGTGCAATAGAATCCTTGTCATAAGGACACCAAGAAGAAGGCAACCCTGAATTCAAGAAACCGCTTGACACCTGCAGCAGTACCCTGTCAGAGACCCTTTAATGAAGTGTCTTGAATTCAAGGAACCCTTTAAGGAACCTTCAAGAACCACACCCGTCTTGCATATTCAGCCCTGCCTTGTCCAGCGTCAGCACTGGAGCAATGGCAAAGAACTCCTGGCCCCCGGGTCTGTTTGTCGGTTTTGTAATATCGGGGCCGTAATAACTAGAAGCGGGTTTTGAGATATATTCCACCATCGGGGATACTATTTCTAATTTTCCCACCTCTCTATGAGGCCTGGGTCTTTGGGTTCAGAGTTTTTAGGAAGGCACATATGGTGCATTACATTGATTCGTGGCCATTCCACGCCCGGGGGGAAAGCATGGGGAGGACTTCGATTTCTTTGTTGGCCCTTAACCCTAAACCCTAAACCGCGCATTGTTTCGTTGAATTGCTAGCGTCCGCAGCCCCAAACCCTAAACTGCTAGACTCCAAAACGTAATATAGGGCCTAAATACTCACCAAAACCATTTTGGGGGCTCCTTTTCATAACTATAGTGTAATGGGCCCCACAACCCTATTCTAATTGTTAAGGCCCCTACATTACAGCTCTTGTCTCTGATTCCCCCGGGGCCAGAGCCCGTTGAACAAGCGAGCTGAGCCCTTCCCATCTTGGGCGAGTTTTTTTTAGTCATTACATTATAATTAGGACCAATCATACATATAGTAACTATAGTTACATCTATCATAATAACCACCACAATAACAAGTAGTAGTACTATTGTTCTTACTATGAGAAGTTCTTTTTACATGCAGTCGTCTTTCTGTGCTCGCACTGTTCACATGTAGGGTTTAGGGACCGTCATGCCAGAACCTAAAGACGCTACAGTGGGGTTGGTCGAAGAAACAGGCCTCCGCCCTATCACCCAGAGCAGATCGCCGCCGCCACTGCCGTCGCCTAAGCACGCTCGGGAGGAAGGAGTTAAGGCTTCGGGGACGTCGATTGGCTGCCACCTTACGCAGTGCGGCAGAAACTTCCAGGTCCAGGAGATAAGCCTAAGGGAAAATGAGTTCCTGAGGGGATCCATGCGTTATGGACCGATAGTTCTTCAAGCTTAAAAGCTTTCCCGAATGAAGCCTCTGTGTCCTAGCTTGTGTTGAACCCGAGCAGCCTTCCTCCAACCACTGGCTTAGCTGGGCAGAGGCCCTTCGGCCGCATTAAGCCTCCGAGCCAGCCCAAAGCCACCCTGAACTCTAAACCCTAAACCCTAAACCTGTGCTTCCTTCTGCCAGACCTGCAAGACCCTAAACCCGAAGACCTACCACCCGAAAGCCCTGAGCCCCGAACCCCAAGCCCTAAAACCCCTACAGCAGCCTTTAAAGCCCTGACACCTGAACCCTAAGCCCAAAAACCCTAAAGCCCTAAACCCCAAAGGCCCTGAAACCCTTAAGACCCCTACACCCTGAAGGCTCCAACGGCAGGGCCCTGGCCCGCGATTGTTGCCTTCATCTTGCGCCGGTGCCTGCGGCTCAGGGTTTAAGGGTTTAGGGTTTAGGGTTTAGGGGTTTAGGGGTTTAGGGTTTAGGGTTTAGGATAATGAGTAGAATAGGGTCGTGCCATCTTAACACATAGTTATAAGTTGTAACCACTAAACGGATATTACTACCATTGAGCGTCAATCAATTTATTGGGGGCCTGCCTGCCACTTAGCAACTTGGCACAACCGAAGTCATCTTCTTAACATGCATGGCGAACCGGCGTGCTAGCCCAAGCCACCAACGACTTGCAATCCTAGGATCGATACTCTATCAAACCATGCACATGAACATGCCACCGGGAAACCCTTCAGCTCGCAAGAGGGGAAGACTAGACTGTGCCCTCTTTCAACTGATCATCAAGTCAGCAAGCAGGGCCCCGACCTAAAAACTGCATGATGTTTGCATCGAATGTCAGGGGCCTTAATAGTTAGAACAGGGTTTTGGGGGTTCCTTATTATAATGATAGTATAATGTACCCCAAACCCCAGTCTAAATTATTAAGGCCCCTATATTAGAAAGCTCCGGAAGCCAGAGTTGAACACCCAACAGGACAAGGGGCTTGAGAGCTTCAGGTGGCAGACGTGCAAGGCCAGCGACCAAGGTCTGTTTAGGGTTTAGGGTGGGTCTCGGTATAAGTTTGAGCTAGACCAGTAGAAAAAAGTTTTGGAACACCTGTAGATATGTGGGAGTTTCAGAAAATTAGGGTACCTTATTTTGGGGTCCTTATAATAAGGATCCTATTATTTAGGGTACTATATTAGGCCCTATTTTCGGAAACCCACATCTCACAGCAGTCGGCAAGGCGAGTCGGTGCCACGGCCAAAAGCTAAACTGCCACACGCTTGGCCTCTGTGCGGGGACGCTGTGATGTGGCAGTGGGCTCTCTCCGTGGGGCACTGGACCTGATGAACAGCTGTATCTTCAGGGTAATCGGGGTGTATTAGTGTCTATTATACTGGGGAACAGAAAGACTATGAAGGGGACATACCAATACCTCCTGTGATACTACAACTGCACTACGGAGCATATCTATGACTTGTTCAGCCCTAAACCCTTTGAGCCCTGAGCACTAAAACCCTGAAGCCCCCAAGCCCTGAACCCCGGAGGCCCTACTGTAAACCCTAAAAGGAACAGGCAACAATGAATTACTCAAGCAAGCCCCCCGAACCCTAAGCCTTCGACCTAAAGCTTCCCGAAACCCTAAACTCTAAACCCTAAACTGCCCGAAGCCAGAAACCAAAACCCCAAACCCTAAACTTCAACGCCCCCCTTTCTTTTTTAGGGTCACCGGCTTTGAGGCTCCGGAATGCAAAACTCTGAACGGAAAGCCCTCGCTCCTCTTACTGGTGGATTTAGGGTTTTAGGGTTTAGGGTGCACTGAAGGGACCTTCATAATTAGAATCGGGTTTTGGGGATTCCTTATCAGAATTATAGTATAAAAGACCCTAGAACCCTAGTCTAATTGTTAAGGCCCCTGGGGTTTAGGGTTTTAGTTTCAGCGTTTTGGCGTTTGCTGGGATTTGGGTTCAGGGTTGGAGGGTTTGGGGTTTTAGGTTTTGGGCTTCAGGCAACCGTAGAATCCTCTCCTCTCACTGGCCTCTGGATGCGACGGGTTGCGCGTGCAACGACCTGTGGCAGCAGGCTCAGCTTTTGCTGTGTCAACACCTAGGAAACAAGACTGTTGTAGACGGGGCGACAATCATCGTGAATCAACATGCGGCCTGCGGTGTGTATCCTCTTCCTACTCACAAGATAGCCTCTCACTGTTTATTGTTCGGTTGACCTTGCATGTGTTCCTCGCAGAAGCACAAGCCGACAGACAAATGTGGACTTCGTCTCTCGCCCCAGCAATTCGAGTCATTGTGTGGCTTCGGGAATGCAATTCTCAAGGGTCGTCATTGCTGCAGGCGTCGATAGCTTGTTTCGCCATGCCCTTAAAACCATGGTGCTTCATGCTGCATGATTCTTCCGCTTTCAAAGACACGCCTCGTTGCAGGGGTTCAACAGGAAAGATATTCTGCCCGACCTTTTGGGTTTGAAGGCCAGCAAGTACAGAACTCTGTAGCTTGGGTACCTTCTCCAAGAAATCCCTTGTCACTACCGCGACAACTTGGGAACCGAGCAGTGTGTCTCAGCTTCGAAATCCGAACCGAAGTGTCCGATTGTATCATGAAGCTACGTCGAGGTGGTACCAACCAGAAATCGCTTTGACACTTCTTGGACTGGTCGGGCCCGCAGAAAGTCCCACAGGTTGTGAGGTGTATGCAAGCCGTTCGGAATCGGGGCTTTTCAGTGGCCTTCGTGGGCCAAACTTAATAGTGAAGGCACTGCTTTGTTTGACGAAATCTACCCGAAGTTTTACAGAAACCGAGGATTCAGGCCTGTCGATGTATCCTAATTGCATGATTGTTGCAACCCTGTGTTGCCAGTTCGGAAAATCAACGCGAATTGTCTTCGAAGTTTGGGCTAACTAACACCTGGGCCACTGCGCAGAGCAAACGAGGGCTGACCACGACAAAACAGAGGGACTATATCAATACTGCAGAGATATTTTTTTCCACTGTTTGTGTGTGGGCACAAGATACGGTCTTCCTACGCTACATGGTGTCGTTTAGAACTGAAGGCTCAGTCCTTCCCTGTCGCTACACCAAATATTCCAAGCATGCCTGAGAGGGGACTTGGAACTGAGTTCCGGTTTCGGGCTGCAGCCGGGCAAGGCCGGCGGGTCGCCAAAGCAAGATGTCGACCACGACACAACAATGCGACTACTACGACTACTACTACTACTACTACTACTACTGCTGCTACTACTACTACTACTGCTACTACTACTACTACTACTACTACTACTACTACCAACTAGGAAGTTTGCTTCAATGAAACCAGGGCTCTATGTAGGGACTTGAAGCCACATGACGAGGACAAGCCTCGTCAGATGGACGCTGACGCAGTCCCTGCACCAATAGCGTGCGGGCGAGCCGGGACAGAGTGCTCCTCGGAGGAGTGACATGGCAAGAACAATATTAATGACGTTGAAAAAGGCTGCTGAGAACAAGGATTTGAATGTGCTGCTGCTGCTCCTCCTCCTACTCCTCCGCCTCCTCCTACTGCTGCTACCGTTGCTTCTACTACAACAACAACTACAACTACAACTACTACTCCTACTGCTACTGCAACTACTGGTACTACTTCTCTTCTACTACTACACATACTACTACTACTACTACTACTACTACTACTACTACTACTCCTGCTAATACTACTACTACTACTACTACTACTACTACTACTACTACTACTGCCACTACTACCACTACTACCACTCACTACTACCACTACTACCACTACTACTACTACTACTACTACTACTACTACTACTACTTGCGCCACTGGGTTTTTGAAGCGGAGCCGCACGGCGACAATGGCAAGATCTTCAAGCGAGAGGGAGCGTTGTACACTCCCAACAGCACTTTTGTGGTCCAGGCGGCTCCCTGGGGTTCACAGACAGCCAGTGCGGCAAGCCGAAACCAAGATCTGTCTACCGTCACTGGACGGACCTGCGAAAGAAGATGCAGCGAGAGAACCATTCTGTCAATGATGTAAACGGTGGACAGCGCATCTTCGTGGGAGTCTGCTCTCACGGCGTGCTCTGACCAGTCCCTCCTTGGACAGGTCAGACGTTGATTTATGTCATGTTGACAAACACCTGCCAAGTTTCCAGATTGTGAGCGATGAGGGTGCAGTAGCTCGTAGTCCTGCGGCAATGACAGGACTAGCAGGCCCAGCAGAGTAGCCTTACGTGATAAGGCGGAGAGATTCTGTTGTCCCGTGGGAGGTACAAAGGAGCTCTGCAGCCCGCTCGGGAGTCGGTTTTCGAGCCTTTCATCTTTGCCGGGGTCCTAGAAAGCCACAGGCAAATCACTTAGACTTAGTCCTTGTCGCGTCGCTGCTGCTACAACGTATCAGTAACGTATCAGTACTGCTTCGTCTGGGCGTTTTTGACTACGAATACTTCGTGGTGCTGCCATGCGGCTGCTGCTTCTGGGACGGCAACTGCTACTGCCGCTGCCACCGCTGCCAGTGTGACTGCCAGGACTTCGACCGCGGCTCTGCATGCTGCTATGCGACTGTTGCTTCTGCTGGTGCTGGCCAACTGCTGCTACCGCTGCCACCGCCACCGCCACCCACCTTCACCTACCGCCACTGCCACTGCCGCTCTTGCTGCTGGTGCTGGATGTGCTGCTTCGGCTGCTGTTGCTACGACGACGAAGACGATTGTAACTAGCACTGCCACCAGCAGTAGACTGCCACCAGCATAGAGCCAGGGCTAGCAGCAGCGCCAGCAGGTGCGGCAGCACCAGTAGTGTGAATCGTTTGTAAACATCTCAGTAGAGGAGCAAGTAGCAGTCGGCAGCAGTAGGAGCAGGGGTCGGATTAGGAGGATGAGCGGGCGCTGTAATGGCATGAGATGGTATGAGATCGCCGGGATGGCATCGACAACCCTGAGGCTTTGGCACGGCTAGATGCTGTCGAGCCACGGTACGGTGCGAAGCGCTCGCCCGTCATGCAAGAGGCCGCCAAAACATAGCTGGGCATGTGATGTGGCACACCCGAAACCATGGCTGACCCATGAAGAAACCCTGAAGCCATGTGCACCGTCCGGCTTCTTGCAGGTAGACAAGGCTCGGAAGCACCTCATCAGGCCAGTTCCGGTAGAGTTTTCGTCAAGAGCTCAATTTCGTAGCGCAGCCACAGCTCTAACCTGTGCCAGCGAAAGGTGGTTGCCCGCACCTCCGCCGCCACTTCCGCACATAGCTGCGCGCCGCGGCCGCCGCGCTGCCACACCCCCGGTAGGGAAGATTGCAACTGCTGCAACTCATGATGCACTGTGCAGAAGTCCTTCTGGCTGCGAGCGCCATCTATTTGAAGGTCCTGGCACGGCGCCTGGCGAAGAAGGCGCGGCACGCGCAACCCGTGCCCGAAGTTGACATGGAGGACGGAGAGTGTAGTGTAGCGTGTGTAGCTGGCCTGTGAAATGCTGTACATGTGGGAGTTTCTATTGCTGAAGCATTTGTCTTCACCTATCTGTTGTGATGATATTGATGCTGTCTGCGAGGAGGAGGAAGATGAAAGCGGACAGCTCATCGTGCGGCAGGACCCATGATATTCCGTAATATGCTATCAGAATATAGTGCAATACAGTAGAATATAGATTAGTTTAGTACAACAGAAAACAGTGTAGTATGATGTGATACATCATACTATACTACACTGTACTATATTAGACTGACTAGACTTAGACTAGACGAGACTATAGACTTAGATAACATGATATAATCTAAAGCAGGTCATATGCTGCTACATTTTGAGAGGGTTTAATGTGATATAACATACTACAATACACTATACGATGATATAACATATTCGAACATATTACAATATAGTATGATATAGCATAATAGTAAAAGATACTATTCTAATTGATATAATGCTGTACAGCATAGCATAACATAACATGGTACAATGAGGTATGATTCTATTATGAGGTAAGATAATATGCGATGATATAAGGTGTCATAATGTTGTATATTTTGTCCAATATTTTGTATTTTGTTACAGTACAGTATATTATAGCGTATCATATTAGTTCGGCTATTATAAGGCAACATAAGATAAGTCAAGATAATGTCCCACAGTATAACACAACACATGAAACGCCAATAGAATATAATTTAACGCAATTGTCTCACATATTCTATAAGATCATATACTGTCATGTCATGTCATATCATACCATATCATAGAATAGGATAGGACAGAATCGAATACAATACTGGTGGCACAAGTTGGTCGGGGAATTGGAGGTGACTCGGTGATTCCCCGCTTTCGAGGATGGCGCAGAGTTGGATGACGACGAATTCCAGCACTGGAAGCAACGCCTGTGGTGTCCTTACCGTAAGACTTCAGATCACCTTTTTTGAAGATGCGTTCACTTCTTGCACGCCCTTCGGACCCAGGCTAGCCGTGGCTCCGTACCGAGCTGCCTCGTGATGCATCCGTTCCTGCCAACCCCATCTTGCTCCACCAATCAGACCATTAACACCTTAGACATTGAGCCCATGCAACTGCAATCCGGAAGCACGAGTATTCCCCTGGCGTCCCTTTTCAGTGCATGAAGGCTGGGTGTCATCCCGGTCACAGTTTCACCATGAAAATGATCTCAGCAGCGCATGTTGTCGTATCACCAGGCTGACACACCCCGCAGGGGAATGTCACTCGGAGACAGGGACATGCAGCACAAAGCCAGCCAGACCAGACCGCGCATGGACCTGCCGCTCCGGCCACGCAGTTGACCTGTACAAAGAACCCGCATTGCAAACGCATTGGCCTGCGAAAACGACGGCACGACCTCTCGTGTTCCTTCTAGAATCTTCTAGCATCGTAAAGCAAGGCCATGATGCCGTGGACTTAGGTGCGGCATCAGGGTCCTGACGACATACATATATACATATACACGTGTATTCAAAACATATATATATATATATACACATATATATACATATATATATATATACACATATATTCGATCCGATATGTCTTATCGTGTAGACAGACTCGCAGGAGTGGATGATTGCCTGGCTGTTTTCCTCTAAGGAGTTCCGGCGAAGGATGCGGCATGAGTGGTGTCGGTTTCGGAGCTGTTGCTAATTAGGGGATATCCAACGAAGGTGTTTCGGCCAAGAGTGAGAACATATCATGATACTACAGTACTGTAGCACATTATATAGTTTAATATACTGTAATAGAACAGCATGGGTTTGATGTCAGTCGAGCTCGTTGTTCGAGTGGTGTCGTCCGCGCGAATAGGAACACGGCCTATTTCAGACGTACCGCCACCTGGCCATTTCGTGGCGATCACTGTCTTATCCAAGCCTTGGCTTTGAACGAAATGCGATTTGACTCGTGCCGATTCCTCGTTTTGCCCGCATCGGGAGCTCCTGACTTTGACCGTTGCTGCCGCAGCGGAGTTTACGAGCGGCTCGCATCTGCCGGCGCCGCGAAGCCAGGACTTTGACGTTGGCACACTGTTCGGATCCATTCCGAGTGGGTTGCCTCACGCCGGTTTCTTCCAGCAGACTTGAATCTCTTGACCACCGCCTGGCGCTGGCACGCGCAATCTCAAGTCTCGCCGAGTCCTGAAGCTCCGAGGCGGCCCGTTCAAGGCGCAGGCATCCGACACCCATATGATACACAAAGAGCAAATGCTCACTATGGCCGAAATCAATGATATTTATCGCCTCTGAATCGTTCGCTATACCCGGGCATCCGCGAAGATGGGGTTTTATCGACCGAGATACCTTGAGCCTTTGAGCCGTGTCCCCGTCAGTACCAACGTATGCTCGTCGGTTGTACATGTTTTGGTCAGAACGTGTGGGCTTTGTCAGTGAGCTGTGTGTCAGTTCGCCTTTCCACTGCTCAACTTCCCCCTCTTTAATTGCTCAACGTCATGCAGCATTTTCGTGTAGAAAATCCAACAATGATCTAGGCCGTTGCATGTTGGATAGTTGTCAACTCGTTGTTTGTCGTTATTTACATCAATGCAGATCCGTTGGCACATCAGTGATTGCTGTCCCCCCGAGGCGCACCTCGAAAGGGAGCTCCCCGCATCACGCTACATCCTATTAGTTACAGAAGTTAAAACAACGACAACGGGTTCCCGCGTCCTATTGTTTACACCTGCCCTGGTCCGCCCCTGACCTGCCCTGCCCCGCCCCGCCTCTCGAAGCAGTGGTAAAGTTGGAACGTGCGGTGAGGTGGAGCGAAGATGGTCGCGTTGTTCGGGAAGGCCAAGGCTTGCTTCTCGACATGCTCGCGCGGGAGATGTGGGCGAAAGCCCCACGCCGTTGATTCTCAGCACTGTCGTCCGAGGGTCGGTTTCGGTCGGCGCCTGCAGCCTGACGGCCTCCGGAACGGCGCGCATGCTCATCGAAACG